CTCGAGTACGCAGGAGTGGTTGATTCTGCATAAATATTTCCAACAGACACCCGTGTACGAGTATATTGCTCCAAGCGGATCAATTTAAATGCCTTCAGAAGCGTTTATTGGTCTACGGATCTCATTTTTATATCAGGAAAGTGTAATTACTTTCTCCCCTGTTCATTCCGGTGAATGCTAAAATAACGATTGCAGTACTTCTATAGGGAAAACTATGGTGTTTTGCGTTCCTTGAAACAAAACGAAAAACTTTTTGATTTATTTGTATCTTATATTTTGAGACAATGAGTCGACAAAGCATGTATAATTAATACATTCTTCACAGAAGTAGAAGGTAAAAAGACGTTCTCATCTCCACAGACATCAAAGTTATAACAGCCGTCATCAAAAATTGTATCCTGCAAGGTCACAGCAAAATCGTATACAACGTTGCAACACTAAAAGCAGAAACCATACGAGTGAAGGCAACTCAGAACTCGAAGCGTATCATAGCTAGCAACGCTGTAATGGTGACTTCGAGTTGCGCGATAAATGGTGGTGGCCCTGTAGCATGCAATTTGGGGACAGCTACTGCAGATCCGAACATGAGCTCGTTTCTGTCATTTTCAGGCATCCAAATTACGTTTTGTGCGATGCCCAAGGCTCATAGACGTTTTCATTGCGGTGTGAAAACTTCACGAAAGAACGCGCATTACTCCTATCTACTCTGGTATTATACTTAATGCAATGCAGTGACTGGTAACTGGAAGACTGTCCTCTGCTGTACTAACGTCATCACTATGATTAGCATTTGACTCTTTAGCTTTAACTCCCAAACAAGAAACCATAAATGAATCAAAGTGCGATTAAGATTACGCAATATATGGAACACAATACCTATTCTTTATTTATATTTTATATCCTAATATAAGAATTATATCGAATTTTATAACTGCCGACTTGAATAAACGTGTCTTTGATTCCGATACTGCCATGGTATTATATAATAATATTTAGTGGAGCCCCAAAAGTGTAAATTACATAAACGTAGCACATATTACGTACCAGTGCTGAAGTTTACTTAAAATGATACAATATACCTTAATTAAATAACTAGAATTCAAGATAACGTCTACTATGAAAGTTTGGTGATCAAACACCCATAGGCCTACGGTTATGACAAATGTGTCTTAGGCTTTGTATCTGACTTGCGTTATTTATAAGATTTTGGTGACTTTACGGACACCGCAAAACAATTCCTTCTATACCAAGGATGACAAACTAAGACCATGAAAGAGATTCAGTCCGACCCGCAAAGTTTTCCGGGTAATATTAATAAGACGCTTGATCTTAATTTTCATTTTCTCATGAAGTAACTAGTTGAGCGCCGATTATCCGGGGTAATTGGGCGAAGCAAGGTCGAGGGAAATCTAAAAATACGGATAATGAAAATTATATTTTATCTAATTATTATCAACTATGTGAGCAAAATAGGAACTTGTACATAGAAACATGTGTATTGACACAAAAATACTAAAAATTCTTTCAAAAAGTAATTTTATCGGAAATACCATAATTTTGTTCGATTTTTCTGTTGCCTTGTTTTGTATAGAGACAGAGACCACGGATAATTGCGCCCCGGATAACCGACTTTCTACTGTGTAATTAATATAATGTAACCGAAAAAAATTGAGATATGCTTAACGTTAACACTCCTACTTTGTATTCGGAAGGTCCTGCTTCACATCTCGACCCGGGGACCGATTATCCTGACTGAGGTTTTCCATAATTTTCTTCAGTCCCTTCTGTCAAATGCCGGGATAATCCATGACTGATTCTTTCCCCATCGTTTAAAATTCATTTTTCATTGATCATCCTATCATCCAGCGCTATACGTATATCTTGATCTACTGATCCGGGGTAATTGGGCGAAGCAAGGTCGAGGGAAATCTAAAAATACGGATAATGAAAATTATATTTTATCTAATTATTATCAACTATGTGAGCAAAATAGGAACTTGTACATAGAAACATGTGTATTGACACAAAAATACTAAAAATTCTTTCAAAAAGTAATTTTATCGGAAATACCATAATTTTGTTCGATTTTTCTGTTGCCTTGTTTTGTATAGAGACAGAGACCACGGATAATTGCGCCCCGGATAACCGACTTTCTACTGTGTAATTAATATAATGTAACCGAAAAAAATTGAGATATGCTTAACGTTAACACTCCTACTTTGTATTCGGAAGGTCCTGCTTCACATCTCGACCCGGGGACCGATTATCCTGACTGAGGTTTTCCATAATTTTCTTCAGTCCCTTCTGTCAAATGCCGGGATAATCCATGACTGATTCTTTCCCCATCGTTTAAAATTCATTTTTCATTGATCATCCTATCATCCAGCGCTATACGTATATCTTGATCTACTGATCGTTAAATAAACCACAAATAAATAAATAAATGTACAAGAATGCAAGTTTTGGTGTCCATAAATATCTGTACTTACAACTGGATACCAGGAGGTCGAGCGGTGTTCATTCCAATTTTAGGGTTAAGTCGTGAGAACACGACAGTTGAGGACATCGTAACAGAATCTGTTGTTGATATTGTTCTATGTCGTTTGTTATAAAAATTGATTCCATTCAATCACCACGAGCAGAGTTAAGAACTCCTTACTTGAACTACTTAATTTGTCTCGCGATGTCCTCCGCCCCCTATGCCACTTCGAAAAGACCCTCCATCCTTCCCCCACCCCATAAGCATAAATTTCCACAACTCTTCATTTCCCTATGTCTGCATCTTCACCATACTGATGTATGGCAAGTTTTTAACTTTCCCGCTAATGTAACGTACTGGTTAGAATCTTTTCAGTGTTAACCTCAGGTCAAATCAAAGACAAAGACGGCAAGAATAACATTTACTCCCAAGGCTGTAAGGAGACTCACTCTGACAACTTACCTAAGACGATGAAGAGAATGATATAGTACCTAAAGAGGGCACACAAGATAAATTCTCAGCGGCGCTGCGTTCATTTTGAAAGACGAAAAATGAAGTCTTTTGTTTTACTCTCGTGGGTCGATACATCGGAACACAGCAGAATCGATTAGACAAAATGAATCGTTAGCCAACTCCAACTAGGCAGTTAAGGCTTACGCTCGTCGCGAGAGCCTGGCTGGCTGACGATGCATTATGTCTCATGCGTTCTGTTGCGTTCTAGTGTACGGAGTAACACTGAACCAGGAAGGTAAGAGACAAAAGACTATTTTTCGTCTTTCAAAGTGGAAGCCGGGTTAACACAGCTCACGCGAAAAACATGAAAGCTCCCAAACACAATTCTGACCTGCTTGTCTGAAGATGGCTGACTTTTGGGATATTGCACCGTGTAGTCTGGTATAGTCGGCACAGTAGTTTTTGGCAGGTGGAATTTTCAAGGGGAAGGCTAGGAGCGAGTCTCTTTTGCGGTAGTATAATGCTGACTGCACCGAGGAGCTTATCGGACTGAACGCCCAAACAAAAGAAATGCACTGACCGTGCCACCTCAGGTACACAGAGTAGGCCCGTCCGCCAGCTTCTCCACCGGCCAAAAACTACTGCGCCCACTATACATACTGACCGACGTTGCAGATGTCGATGACGGAGCCATTCAATTCCTCTGAAACGTCAGTCAGCATCTACCAGACTACACGGTGCAATATCCCAGAAGACAGCCATCTTCACACTTGTCGCCATGGTAAAGTGTCAAATCCCCAGCACTTAATCAGAGTCAGGTTAGAACATTCTTTATATTTCCGTTCTGCGAGTCAGCGAAAGTGTAATTTGCTTACCTTAGTCAGAAACGCATCCACATCCTGAATTTCGTAACCAAAACGACAATGTCGTCTCTGTTTCTCGGTCTTGTGCCTTGGAATGCGATTGCGGCGATGTCGGTTCTTGTCACGATGCGATCGTCCACTCCTGCCACTTTCGCTGTTCGCTGTCAATAAAGACGGTTCCGACGAAGTCCTGGTTGTGATCGCACCAACACTTTTATTATTGTTTTTACTCTCCTCACTGCTCACTTTATTATTGATACAATCATTTGGTTTAGCGTTGCATTTGGTTACAGGATTCTCTATGGTGTTATTATTGGTGCTAATTGTCGTAGACGTCGGTGGCGGCGCATCGGTAGCAGCTGAAGGAGAAGTATCGACTCCAGGAGCTGTGTTTGTGGTTGCAGCTGAGCTGCTTTGACGGTCGCCTCTTAGCACCCACGTAAGAGAGATTTTGGGACGAGTTCGAGCCGCCAGGAGAGAGGATGACCTCTGACCCATGTCCTCCTCCTCCTCCTCCTCCTCCTCCTCGTCTTCGTCGTCCTCTTCCTCCTCACCCGCGCTGCCACTTAGGTCAGCAACAGCATCCAGGTCGCGACATGGGCCCACCAAGTCGGGAACAGCCAACCAGACTCCATTCTGCAGACACAACAGACCATTCATATGACTCCTTGATAGTGCCATTGTCTTAACACAACGCAAAGGTCGGCGTGGTTCAAATCACGACATGGGGCCAGCAGAAGGCCGAATTCTTCACATACTCATCCCTAGAGTAAGGGGCAGTAACCAGATAAAGCTACAGTCCAAGGGTTTTCAACCTGTAGCCCGCGGGTCTTAAGCGCTACCAACACACGTTTTGAAATACTGATCACTCCTTGAGTTGAAAAACAGTTACCAAATGTCAGAAAACTCACTTGTTCATGCCGCCTCACACTGTAAGCGTAATACCGAGCGCCAAAAGAGTGGAGCTATTCCTCCATTAATCCAATCCATACGTCTTCGTGGCGTAGAGCTTAATAAATAAGTTTTGTTCTGTGTTAGATAGGACAATGGATTAAATTATATTCAAATATAATTTCGAATTTCGATACATTTTCTTTTATACTGTAGTTTGTTACATTTTATCATGTTCTTTTCGGGTTAAGAAATCATACTTCAGGTCGTCATGATCTGAATCAGGGGTTCTCAACCCTTCCCAAACCTGGAGCCACATTCACTCTTTCTTATCGACTCGCGGGCCGCTGGGTTATAAATTTTGATAAGTTATTGAAACGCCACGGGGTCTTTTTCAGAACATGGGTACTCCTCGACAGTTGTGTTCCAAGAAAAAGTCGCAGATGGTAAAATCACATAAATCGAAAAAAATAAAATCCCTTCTCCCCTCGCACTACTCCTTTGCCACCCCTACAATATACTCTACTCATCCCCACCTCACTCAGTCCGCCATTAAAATTAAATCGTATTTCTCGAAGACGTATTTGATGATTTGATGAGTACCTGTACTAATAAATTAAGCCTAGTTTTACAACAATTTTCTTGAACAAAGGCTGTCATTAATGAGAGATTTTACACTGTTTTTCTTTCTTAGTTTTTTCAGCACCATGTCCAATTTATCTTGATACGATTCGCGTGCATCTTTCCAAGTGTTTATCAGCGAGATGCGTTCTACTTCTTCATTTAAACTGCTGTTTTCCACTGTACATTTGCTCACATCTATAGGTACTGCCAAATACTAACGGCATTAACAAGGCGTGTATTTCTAATTCAGATAAACTATTCAACATTCATGGTGACATAATATCATAAAAATGTACGTGGACGGTGGGTTGAGAATCCATGGTCTAAACAAAAACAGATAGCCGGAAATTTATGACAAACCACACACCATAAAGCGCATGCGCGACAGCTCGGTTATCCCAGACCTTTGTTAAGGGTCAGTATTGTACTGGTCAGAAAAAACTTCCTACCTTCAAGTTCTGGGACAGGCGCGCATACCAAAAACTCAATAATGCATGGACCACGTCGTAAAACAGAAAAAGGGCAATTTAGTAAAGACCATTTCTGAACGTTTTGATGTGTGATACCCCATTGTTTCACTGTGTAGGTCAATTCTGGTCAGCACTAGCAAACTCCGTCCATTCCGATTTTACGAAATAAAATGCTCGCCGTACAATGCGGGAAAGAGGATGTACAGTCACGATCATGAAAATTAAACCCACATTTTATAAACATGGACAGACAACTAATGTAACTGCGTGAACAGTGAACATCTATGTCAAAACATCTTCTGAAATGACATATCTGTCATATAAAACGCTTAAAATATCCGGTTTATTGAATTAAAACTGATATTAATAAATACATGACCGAATTATGAATTCATTTTGTCGATTCAAAAGAACTTGAAACGCTGGCCCATATGTGGATGTCTGTACGTGCAGCCCAACTGGATACAGCATTGTGTTCAAAATCAGACGTGACCAATGTTTATATCGTAGAAATTATCGAACCTGGAAATCGTCGATAGAAAAATTAAGTCTTCTGTAGGGGATTTACGTAGTTCTTTCCGCCACAAACAGTCGGTAATCAAGTGGTACCGACAGCTCCACTCGAACTTCCACATTGCATTGTCCGTCTCTTTCTCTCCCTCTCTCTTCATTCCTTTCATTGAACACGACTGCACACCGGCTTTCACGAGAATGCACATCTGAGAACAGACACACCCCTCATCTTGCCTCATCTCATAACAACCGGCCACAACAAGGATACGCCCCCTCGTGTATCGTTGTGTGTGTCCGCTCTCAAGGAAAGAATCTTGATTATTAACTGCAAGAAACCCAACAAAGTTTCAAAGGTGTTTATTCAGACCTACCGGTAACATGTCACCTAACCACAACACCAAGCGTGCGTGTTAATATTTCTAAAACGTTATCTTGTGCACTTTCCAAAATAAAAAACCAAATATTTTTGTAGGCCTAAACTACGTTGTTGTAATACATTTTTCATAAAATAACCTAAATAAAAGTTTAATATTTTGGGAGACTCATTATCATGCATTCCATATCCAAGTACTCCTCCCACGTCAGAAGTTTGAATAGCCGCGTTGTATTTTTAATTCACGGCATGACATTAAAAGTGGAATGGCCTCTAGTGACAAAATGTAAATACCCAGGCTAATAGAAATCCGTCAATAAGTTCATAAGTTATTATGAACAAGAGACACGCGTATATAATAAACAGGTTCACAATTGTTTTCAAAAAGTCAGCCACCGTATATTATCTCGAATCCGATAAGTCCAGTACATAACCTCACTTCCTATTTTTTATTATCATCTCATTTACACATATGTACCCCACGTTTCTCCTCCCTTCGGGTTTTCGAAGTACATTTTAATGAATTTCCCATTTTCTCGTGCGTGCCACATGCCTCGCCCATCTCATTCTGCGTCATTTGGTCATTCTGATATCTGGTTAAGAGCAGCGATCCAATATGGCACTCCTAAGCAGATTTATTTTCCCTCTTAGGCACAAATATTCTCCGTAGCGCCCTGTTCTCAGACATCCTGAATATAATGTGATCTGAGTTCTTCACGATGGTGAAGATGTGGACTGTTTAATCTTGGTTAATCTTGTAGGTAGCCACCAATGTTTCGGAGAAACACAGAAACGTATCTCCTCCATCTTCAGGAACAGAAACGTTACGTTCCTCCGAAACGTTAGAAATCGCCTAAAAGACAATTTGGTGCCACAATCAAGTTGACCAAAATCTATAATCCGACGAAGGCAAGTAGTCATCTAGCCGGTGAGGGCGCTGAAGCGTCTGGCTAACAGAATGGTGAGGTCACATAGCAACACGTTCTGTTCAATGTTTCTCGCCACATAACCATTTATCTTGGTTGGGCTGTATCACAATCTATTTGTTCCCTTAGGGCAAGATGCCACGTTCCACACCCACACAGAAATAACCTAAAATTATACTTTTTACGTGTTTTGGTCTTTATGATTCTAGACAGCAGACGGGGAGACAATTTTTTTTTAACAGAATAGTAACGAGCATTGCCCACTGAGGACCGTCTCGAAGGTAAAATAACAAAATCTGCACTTTTGCACTCGTCTCGCGCTGTGGATAAGTGTGACGAATTCCATTCTTTGACCGGATAAACGTACAACATCGCATCCACATAAGAGTTCTGGATAAAATGCCAGCCTGTCAAGAAAATTATGTATGAGCTTTTTGTAATTCCTACATGCGATACCGTACATTTAAAAAACCTGTTCTGAAACTTGATGTAGACATTTCGAAAACTTGCTGTACGTTACTTGTGCGTTTAAAAAGATACATAGTTCCTGGGTGTGGAACACGGAGATCAAACAGGTTGAGAATCTCAACACATGCGTGCACAATTTTCTATCCGGTCAGATGGTGAAATGCGAGATCAAATTGATCGTAACACGACGACGAAATAACTCCGCGCTGAATTCTAAAGCTTATGAGATTTCGTTTCCAATTAATTTACAACTGGATATTGTTTGAATGTTGTAATGACCTGTGACTGATGAGTGGAGGATCTGAGGTTTTCACTGAGGTGTATCCGAAGATGGCTGTCTTCTGGGTTGTTACGCCGTGTAGTCTGGCAGTTTACCGACGTTTCATAGGTCCTTGCTGCCTCCATCAACAACTCGGCTGTGACGTTCAGTCACATATATTCACCAAAAATGTTAATATTATTCTCGTCTTGATTCTCTCTTCCAATTGGCCGCCTCGAGCGAAAATTCAGGATCAAATCAGTATTTTACATTCCTCAGTCAATTCGTGGAGCAGGTTGCCTCGACCGGTGACACTTCTGACCTGTATTTGAGGGGGCCAGGGCACATATTTTCCTAAGTCCCTCCACGTGAACGCCGGACTAGCATTTTGAAATAGGCCACGACCGCCGTTGGTAAATTTCTACCAGACTACACGGCGCTACAACCCAGAAGTCTTCCATCTTGATAACTGTTAAGTATTGATTACTGTTGTGTGTGGATATGATTCAATACACCGTTAAACATCGTGTTTTCTGCACGAATTTTTGTGTAATGTGGAGTCGGAGTGTCCCAGAAATTTTCGTAATAAATTTCCCGCGATCATATTTCTAAGCGCAAAAGGCATCCATGAACTTGTTTATAGTCAGGTCCACTGAATCACTTGTGGAAAAAGAAATCTACTTAAAAACTTCATGTTCATTCTGTACAGTTCATATTGGTACAAAGTAAGACACGGTGTGATGCTGGGAACTTGGATGGGTACGTACGAGTTCCTTGTTAATTTTTGACTAATTATTAAAGCCCGTTATTGTCGTAACATAAATTATCAAGTGATACAGGCGATACATCTGCATTAAAATATCGATACACATGTATATCGATATATTTTGCTCGTCGCAAATGTGGAGGGGAACTGAGCATTTTCTAGCAACACTACACTGGACTACCCATAATTTGTCTTATGCCGCTTGAATGAGTTATTGCTTTGCTTAAGAATAAAGTTTGCTGGTGCGAGCCCCTTGTTAACAGTTTGCCAGTACACCCCTGAAATAACACGTTAGACCAGGGGTGGGGACCCTGCTGCCTTAAGAGCACATGTGGCCTTCTAGGTC